ACGCTTTAAAAACTTATTCAAGACACATTACGTTTCTAGATTACCGAATCGGATGATTATGATAACGTATTCTTCAGCTAGAGGAGACGAACAAATAAAATCAACATGAGAATCACTACACTGATACTTTGACTGATCTCAAAAGAAAATACAATCATTTTCTTGTCATGAAAAAATTCTGTGCCTTCTACGCTCTTAGTAGTCATTAGCTTACAACGAGCTGTGATAAAGTACCTTTGAATTTCATAATTTTCGTTACTAACCCATTGTAATGAGATAATTGTTAACAACAATGATGCATTGAACAGCTACTTCAATTTAGTACATAACACTGCAACCGTTTATATTCAAAACTTCGTTAGTGATAAAATCTAGAGCCTCTTAGGTTTCATAGAGTGCAATTAACCTTTATAGTACTGTATTGACTTTCATCAGTTAACATTTTTAACTTTAGTCAACTTGCAATATTTCACCTTTCGACATGATCTTTTCACAACAGTTGGCTATACATGGTACTGATTGTTTAGTAGATAACATATAAGAGTTTAATGCAATAGATACTGTATACAAGTTTTATAATAGATGCCAATTTTGAGACTTAGATCCAACCAGCTGACAAGTAAAAAATATAGAACTAAACGTGAGTCCTATTTTTCAGCCACTATCTCTGAATAGGCTCTTTTGTAAGTTGTACAACGAAAGGTTGTACACTTTTCAGAAACGCATCTGAATACGTTATGCGATTAATAGCCAATATTGATGTATTAAAATAAACAAAAATAGATAACTTGTTGAAATATCTAGACGACAGGATCAGGTAGCCAAGATGTTCAAGCAGACCACCATTTCATCAAATCATTGGAACAGTTATAACAAACTTTTAAATCAATAAATTATTTCAGTTGAAGATCTTGTTGTTGTATCCGGAGAAGAATGAATTAATAGTAACCGTTAGGAATTACGTATGGACTTATATTATATGAATATTCTTATTGTAGGACTATTAAGTAACTATATTATATGTTTATTCATATTTCTTTCATTATAAGCTTTTATTTAAGTTATATCTAGAGCTTGGATTCTTAATATACCGCTTATGACTTCAGCACTCGAACTCTAGAACACTCCCAAGTCACAAATGAAAAGATAAAAACAAGCATAAGAAATGATATTCTAAACAGTGTCAATTATGATACAAAACTGTCAGGTATTTATAGTTTTGGGTAAAAACGAAATTATCATTACATGGTGTTATTAGCATTTGTTCAACAGGGAAGCTAAACGTGATGAATCTGGAATATTCTTCCAAATGATGATTGGATAAAATATCTTCAGCTCTTTCTGAGCTTCTTAGAGCTTCCTCGAGTTCATCTACGGACTGTATTTGCAATTTGATCTACTGGATACTGTTATATGATTTACTATTCCCAAGTTATTCTCAATTAATTAGTAACGGTTTCTCACAATCACAGCCACTTTTTGGCTTCATCTTGTAAACAAGTTACCTTCTATTTTATGTGGCCTGTCTAGCTTGTATATATACCAATTATATTTGAAATATATGATTCATATCCCAGAGGCTCAGATTGATGTTCCGAACTCAACAGGCAGGGCTGGAGGGTAAAAGGCTTACTTACTTACGCCTGTTACTCCTCAAAAAAAAGCATAGGCCACTCATAAGCATTCTCAATCCAACACTGTCCTGGACAATACTTTCCAGTTCTTTCCAGTTATTATTCATCCTTCTCATATCTGCTTGTATTTCCCGATGTAGTGTGTTCTTCAATCTTTCTCTTTTCTGCTTCCCTTCAAGATGCCATGTTAGTGCTTGCCTCATGATTCAGTCTGGTGATTTCCATAATGTATGTCTTATCCACCAACTCCATCACATATTCCTAATTTCCTCTTCAATTGGAATCTGGTTTGTTCTCTCCCATAGAAGGCTGTTGCTGATGGTATCCGGTCAATCGATGTTGAGTATCTTGCGAAGACAGTTATTTATAAATACTTGTATCTTCTTGATGGTGGTTGTTGTAGTTCTCCAAGTTTCAGCTCCGTACAGTAGAACTGACTGTGTTGACGTTCGTGTTGAAGATCCTGACTTTGATATTGGTTGACAGATTGTTGTTTTGAGTTGCATATGTTCTTCAATTGTATGAATGTTGTCCTTGCTTTGCCAGTCCTCTCCTTTACGTCTGCATCCGATCCTCCTTGTTCATCGATGATGATGCTTCACAGGTATGTGAACGATTCTACATCTTCGAGAGTTTCGCTATCAAATGTGAATGAATTGCTGTTCTCCGTGTTGTATTTGAGGACCATGGTTTTCTCGTTGTGTATGTTGAAGCCTACTGATGCAGAGACTGCATCTACACTGGTTGTGTTTATTTGCATTTGTTCGTGTGTGATAGGTGATATGTGGGCTAGGTGATCTGCGAAGTGCGAATCGTCTAATTGGTTGTGAGCAGTTGATTGTACTCCATGTTTTCCGTCAGATGTTGAGGTTTTCATAATGCAGTCGATCACTAGAAGAAAGAGGAATGGAGAGAGTAGACAGCTTTGTCTGATTCCGGTCGTTACTTGGAATGCATCTGTCAGCTTTCCTTCATGCACGACCTTGAACTGTAGTCCGTCGTATGAGTTAAGATACCAATATATATGCTTCATTATTTTAGTCTTATAAATCAATATAGCTAAATTGGCAAACGTATTTCTTGATCATCGTATATAATCTAATATAGATAAGACTTGTATAATTGATCATTACAATTGTTGTCATGACATTGAGAATACACATTGTTCAAACCGTATTAAACAGAATGTAAAGAAAAAAACGTGTTCAAAATAGAATTCTAACTCAATACTATTCATCTCAACTAATTGGATATGAATCACAATGATCATACGTGTTAGCTAACTTGAGATGAAATGTAAAGTTAAATAGAATAAGTCACATGGTAGATGACAACTAATTTTGTTTTTCTTAGAATAAAAAGTATTAAAAAAAAGATAAAAACCAAGATTTTCTATATCGTAGTTAAGGCGTGATCTGTTTTTGTTTTTTTTTTGTGCAAATTTATGAACCAAAATTTAGGCAATAACTAATCAATAAGTTTCCATTTCCATAGAATAATAATGGATCAAAGTATTGATTCAACGGCAACAAAAAGAAAACAAAAACAAAGTAATGTATTCACAGTTTGAAATCATGAGTTAGTTGAAGCTAGACCACCATTGAAAACCTGGAAGCACTGGATGGCCGTTTCGTCCTGATATGGGACTCCTCAGCAGTGCGCATCCACGACCTCGCACCACCCGGGTCCTGAACCCAGGACCTACTGGTTTCGCGCGCGAGCACTTAACCACTAGACCACTGAGCCGGCATCCAATGGTGTTAATGTCTAACTTCAACCAATCCACGAAGTTGCGCCACCGTACACCATTGTCTTCAGTGAGTTGTTATCTTACAACAGACCGGTTGAACTCCACTGGTAACGGCTTCTCACTAGAACTTCCAGTGCTTCCAGGTTTTCAATGGTGGTCTAGCTTCAACTGAATCATGATTTCAAACTGTGAAATTTCTAAAATTCTCCACAAAACCCATTCTGATAATGTATTCAATTATTGATACCTAATCGATCATGAACATAAACTAATAAGGATTTTGTAATATCTTAAAATGAAATCGCTATTCAACTTCACTCTCTTATCATTTTTTTATCTTACATGTTATCATGTTTGATGAGTATAAAGATGGTCAATAGTTTAATGTAGCTTTAATTAACACTAGTTCTTTCCTTCCTTCATTCATTCATTCCTTCATTCATCAGTTGACAATAATAATAGTAATAATAATTTGTGGGAGAGAACAAACCAGCTTCCAACTGAAGAGAAAATTAGGAATAGGTGATGGAGTTGGTGGATAAGACGTACATTATGAAAATCACCAAAGTGAATCATGAAGCAAGTGCTAACATGGGATCTTGAAGGAAAGGGGAAAACAGAAAGACCGAAGAATACATTACGTCGGGAAATAAAAGCAGATATGAAAAGGATGAATCACAACTGGAAACGATTGCTCAGGATAAGGTTGAATGACAAGTGCTAATGGGTGACCTATACTCCTTTTTGAGGAGTAACAAGCGTAAGTAAGCAGTTAATAATAATAATAATAATAATAATGATCTAACATCGATAAATTTCATATTTTATTTCACACATGACCAGAAAAAAAATGTTTGTTTTATGAAGAAAAAAAAACGAGTTACAATTTCAATGTTCCATTAAATATTGATATTGAACAGCAGTTCATCATCAACCTCATCAACAATAATGCCATATTTAATCACATTGACAGCATGTACACAAACCACACACACACACATATATATATCTGTGTTAAGTATAAAGAGAGGAGGTATCTGTTTATTATCATTATTATTATTATTACTACTACTAGTAGTAGTAGTAGTAGTAATAGTAAGAGTAGGAGTGGTAGTAGTAGTAGTAAGAGTAGGAGTGGTATTAGTAGTAGTAGTAGTAGTAGTGTACATATACCTAATTATTATTGGATCATATGATATCACTAAGAAATGAGTAAAACAATGAGAATAGAACTACAACTTAGAATCATTCAAATTAATTTTATCCAATAAATACACATTTTATTTATTCATAATCAAAATAGACTTAGTAACAAAAATGTTTTATTCATGAATGTGTATTAATAATCATGATGATCATCATTACATAATATGTTAATTTTGGATGATTATTATTATTATTATGATTACATCATAAGTAGATCAGACATAGTCCTGGAGCTGTTTACAGTCTATATTGGATTAAATCAAATCAATACTGATCAATAATCAATAATCTCAGAAAGAATATTCACGTATACTTCTATCACTATTTATCATCCATTATGATCATCATCATTTGATAGTGATTGAATTTGTTGAATTCAAACAAGTATTATGATTATGTAATATTGTATAATGCAATCATCATTGATTATATCAAAATCTCAACCATCTCTTTTATTATCAACTACAAGTCAAGAAAATTTAACATCATCTTCGATATTATCTTCAAACGATACTAATACTACTCATATTGCTAAGAAAGATACTCATTATGATCAATTAAAAGAAATCAATAAGAACAATGTGAAATTACGACGAAAATCATTGAATAGATCATCATTATTATTATTACCATCATCATCATTATCTGATCATTCATATTATATGCATAAAATTAATCAACGTAATAAAAATCAATTATCACGTTATTTCAGCAGATCATCTTCAACATCATCACCATCACCGTCACCATCATCATTATCATCATTCAATAGAGTAAAGCATATAAATCCTACATTGAATTGGTATTCATTAGGTTTAAGATTAAAACAAAGAAATCGTTATCTCAATGATATACAAACTAAAACTACTAAATTATTAAATTCATCGTATGATAATGATGATAATAATGATAATGGTAATGAATTTTTTATTCAGAATACAAATATTAATCAATTATATAGTAGACAATTAACAGAGAATCTTATAAAATTACCACCGCCAGCATTATCATCACAACGACAATGTGAACAATTGAATAAACGACGACAACAACAACAACGCCAACAACAACAAAAACAACAACACAGTAAATCATGGAATGATAAAAAACTTGCGCGTAATTTACTACTAGAAGAATGGAAAAGGAAATCAGATACTGTTCAACATGTGAGCTCATTCCTAATGATTTAATCATAGTCATGTTTATGTAGTGTTACTAAGGACCTAAGTTATTGATTATTGTTTGTTTTTTCATTAAAATTTTTGTGAAGCAACTGTAGCTCTGATGAATAAGAAAGATTTTCGTAACTTTCAATTCATCTGATCAAATTGATCATTTTGGTCAATATCAATTTTGAATAGTTATTTTTTTTAATATCAGATGAGTTTTCTGGATATTATAGTAATTTCAATAGTTAAGATCATGAGTCAGTTGAAGCTATTTCGTGGATCAGTTGAAGTTAGACATTAACACTGTTGGATGCCGGCTCAGTGGTCTAGTGGTTAAGTGCTCGCGCGCGAAACCAGTAGGTCCTGAGTTCGAATCTCGAGGGAGGCGAGGTCGTGGATGCGCACTGTCGAAGAGTCCCGCTATAGGACGAAACGGCCGTCCAGTGCTTTCAGGTTTTACATAAGTGGTCTAGCTTCAATTGACTCATGATCTTAACCATTGAAATTATTACAATCTCCACAAAACCCATCTGATAGTTTTTATATGTTGACAATAATCTCTAAGGAAAACACTAACAAACGTTCTCTTTTAATCAATAATTTTGACAATATACGGATTATTCTTTTTTTTTCTTTTTATATTTTCAGTCTTTTGTTTTCAACTTTAATCTACTTATTACATCCTTAAAAAGTCAATTTCAATATTATTCCTTTTCTCTTAAACAATAAGACAATAACAAGTGAATTAAACTTCACCCCATTGCACAACCAAGTAGCTATCAGCACTCAGTAGCTGAGTGGATAATACAGTTCGCGTTTGAAGCGAACGGTACTGAGTTCGAGTCCCAGAGTGAACGTCAACTCTGAGATACAGGTACATCCTGCTGACGAGTCCCAAACAGGACGAAACGCACGTCAAACTGGATTCCACTGCTAGCCACTATCCATCTATGCTTATAATATCTATACATGTTTATATGTAACTTTATCTATGCACATTAAAACATCAATCAATCGATCAATTAATCAATAATGAATTATCTGGAAAAATCAATTAATCGATAAAAATTCAATCGTTATTCACTTTTTTTTCTTTTTACAAAAAAATCCTAAAAAATTATTCATTGACAGCAGTAACAACAACAACAACAACAACAGAGAATGAGGATTCGAACTCGAGTTTTAGAAAAAAACCATGTAATATATCTTTTTTTTCCTGTTTTTTTCTTCATATTAAGATAAATCTAGAAGGTTGAAAAAACCTTAGAAATTCCGTTGTTGATGAATTAATTGATTAGAATAGTTTTTATTTAATGAATATTATGTATTTTTAAGGGTTCAGATCATGAGTCAATTAAAGTTAGACCACAATGGAAAATCTGGAAGCTTTGGAAGACCATTTCGTTCTGGTATGGGACTCCCTATTGGTCACAACTTCTCACTAGAACTTCAGAGAATCCATCTTGATGCTAGTCACTAAGTTTAAATGGCCATCTAGTTCTTTCAAGTTTTCAGTGGTGTCCTTGTTGAGATCGACTCATGAATTCAACTATTAAAAGTACTATCTCTACAAACCTTCATTATATAAATATATCAAATTCACTTGATATTGTTTGCTTGAATCTTCGCATTGTTGTTTGGGATTGCAATTAATCAGTCTCTTGTTGATATATATGCATCCTGTGCGGACTACCTCGATATCGTCTTAAGTCAGGAGCATTATAAAAAAAGATGGATGTTGGCTAGCCGTAGAATCCAGAACACAGTCCTAAAAAACATTGAGAAGATTCAAACAAACAACACCAAGTGAATTTAAACTTCATCCCATAGAAAAATCAAGTGGTTATCCGTACTCAGTATGTAAGTGGATAACTCGAAGGCATTTAAAGTGAATGGTACGGGATTTGAGACCCAGAGTGAACATCAACTCTATGATGTAAGTACATCCAGCTGATGAGTCCAAAATAGGACGAAACGCGCGTCATGGATTCCACTGCTAGCTACCATCTATAAAAGGTTATAACCATATTCAGAAGAGGAGATGGTCACGACTAATTTCTACAGCTAAAAATGTATAACTTTTGACTTAAATCTCAGAAGTAAAGATATATTGATTAGTTCTGTTAAAGTCCAAATAATCTGAATAACTTTGACTAAAATTTAATCAAAGAATTAGAACTTTCAAGAAGATACTAAATTACATAAATATAAAGATGTAAATAGTTAATGAATTGTTCTCTTTTTATATAGTAAATCGATAATAACAATGATAATAGTATGAATATATAAATGATACTACTAATTTATTCAAGTTTATTTTGAATGTCAAATGCCTTACTAATCAGACCAGTGAACGAGGATGCGCACTGCTGAGGAGCCCCACAATAGAACTAAACGGCTGTCCAGTGCTTTCAGGTTTCCAATGATGGTCTAAGATCAATCGGTTCATGTTCTCTATCAAGAACCAGAACATGGACCATATAATGTAAAATTTTAAAGAGGATTATATCAATGAAGTATTCTTAAGACGTTGAATCGCTAGGAAAAACACTCATATATGGATACTGTAATGCAGTAGAGTTCATTGAATATAAACAAAAATTAGATTGCCGATTGAACGCTACTTGTTATATCTAGTCGTCGCTGACTGTTGTGTTATTACCATTTATCCAATAGGGAAGCTACACGTAGAGATTCTGAAGTTTTCTTCCAAAAGGTGATTGGATGGAATATCCTCAGCTCTTTCTGAGCTTCTTATAGTTTCACTATGGACCGTTATCACAAGGATTATCATTAGGTTTAAAAGTTAGAAATCAGGGCAACGCTGATTTTGGAAGACTCTGCTAATCAGACAACAGTATCAAATTATTCATTTAACTTGAGCCACGTTTTGACCTTATTAATTATTTACTTATCAACCTTGACTGTTTTATATGATCATATGTGATAAACTTCTTATCCTATTCATCACATGTCTGTAACCTACTTTTGTTCGGCAATAAATATCAATTAACGCTTGAATACATCGAAATGGTTCACACGCCTTCTCCACTGTGTGTCATTTCACTTCTCTCTCTCTCTTCTATTAGCTTCCTTTGCTTCGTTTCCCTGACTGTATTTAACTTATTTAATTCCGTGATTCACTAATGCAATTTAAGTCGATGATTTAGACAAAAACATGTAGACTAAAACATTGGCTATATGTCTGATCGACTTCCTTTAATGATATAGCTTATTTATAATTTTTCTTACTTACTTACTTACTTACGCCTGTTACTCCTCGTAAAGGAGCATAGGCCGCTTACCAGCGTTCTCCATCCAACCCTGTCCTGGGCAACCCTTTCCAGCTCCTTCCAGTTGTTACTCATCTTTCTCATATCTGCTTCTATTATCCGACTTAATGTGTTCTTAGGCCTTCCTCTTTTCCGCTTCCCTTCAGGATTCCAAGTTAGGGCTTGTCTCGTGATGCAGTTTGATGATTCGCGCAATGCTTTTCCTATCCATTTCCATCGTCTTTTCCTAATTTCTTCTCCAGCTGGAAGCTGATTTGTTCTCTCCACAAAAGGCTGTTGCTGATGGTATACGGCCAATGGATGTTGAGCATCTTGCGAAGACAGCTATTTACAAATACTTGTACTCTCTTGATGATGATTGTAATAGTTCAAGAAGTTTCAGCTCCGTACAGCAGAACTGACTGTGTTGACGTTCGTATTGAAGATTGTGACTTCGATATTGGTTGACAGATTGTTGTTTTGAGTTGCATATGTTCTTCAATTGTATGAATGCTGTCCTTGCTTTGCCAGTCCTCTCCTTTACTTCTGCATCCGATCCTCCTTGTTCATCGATGATGATGCTTCACAGGTATGTGGACGATTCTACATCTTCGAGAGTTTCGCTATCAAATGTGAATGAATTGCTGTTCTCCGTGTTGTATTTGAGGACCATGGTTTTCTCTTTGTGTATGTTGAAGCCTACTGATGCAGAGACTGCATCTACACTGGTTGTGTTTATTTGCATTTGTTCGTGTGTGATAGGTGATATGTGGGCTAGGTGATCTGCGAAGTGCGAATCGTCTAATTGGTTGTGAGCAGTTGATTGTACTCCATGTTTTCCGTCAGATGTTGAGGTTTTCATAATGCAGTCGATCACTAGAAGAAAGAGGAATGGAGAGAGTAGACAGCTTTGTCTGATTCCGGTCGTTACTTGGAATGCATCTGTCAGCTGTCCTCCATGCACGAATTTGCATTGTGGTCCGTCGTATGAGTTCCGGATAATATTGACAATCTTCTCAGGTACTCCTTAGTGTCGAAGAAGTTTCCATAATGTCCTCCTATCTACACTGTCGAATGCCTTTTCATAATCAATGAAGTTGATGTATAGTGACGAGTTCCACTCAACTGACTGTTCGACGATGATCCTTAGTGTTGCAATTCGGTCTGTGCACGATTGGTCCTTACGGAATCCAGCTTGTTGATCTCGAAGTTGGGCGTTTACTGCATCTTTTACCCGGTTCAGCAACACTCTGTTAAAGACCTTCCCTGGTATTTGCAGTAGTGTAATGCCTCTGTAGTTTTCACATTTGCTCAGATCTCCTTTCTTTGGAATCTTGACGAGGTGCTCTTCTTTCTAGTCCATCGGTACTTGTTCCTCCTCCCAAATCTTTTTGAATAGAAGGTGAAGCATGTTTGTAGTTACTTCGATGTCTGACTTCAGTTCTACAGCTGGTATGTTGTCAGGTCTCGCTGCATTCCCGTTCTTGATTTGTCTGACCGCCATTCTGGTTTCTTCCTTCGTTGGTGGGTTGACGTTTATGGGAAGATCTGTGTGTGCTGTTCGATGTCCGGTGGATTCGTTGGAGCCGGCCTATTCAGGAGTTCCTCGAAGTATTCTACCCATCTGTTCCGCTGTTGCTGAATTCCAATGATTGGCTTGCCTTCTTTGTCTTTGACCGGTCTCTCTGGTTTACTGTATTTCCCTGCTAGTTTCTTCGTTGTATC